CCCCCGCTTCCGCCCGAGATTTCCTCTCAATGTACTCAGGACTGCGCTCTCGCGTGCGACGTCCTCACAAATTATTATGGAGTCGCGTTTCGGCGCTCAGGAACCACGCGCGCGCCAAGGACGCCTTCACAACGTGGTATCTTTCCTCTTCCTTCTTCCTTCCCCCTCCCCTTCCTCCCACTCTCCCTCGTTCTTCCCCTCCTCCTCTTGCAGGGCCCGCGCCAATTCCAATGGCGGGCAGAGAGATGTACGCCCCCGAAGGATTGTCCGCCCGTTCCGGTTTGCCCGTACGTCTAAGCCCGCCGGCCCCAGCAAAGAAAATAATCCCCCCGAAAGGGGTGTGATCGAAGACGAAGAGGGCGGGTATCGAGGGTGTTGGGTATACGTGTTGAATGACTCGCGGGCAAGTAAAAGCGCACAGCCTTAAAATGGTTGTTGTTGTTGTTGTTGGTGGTGGTGGTGGTGGTGGTGGTGGTGGTGGTGGTGGTGGTGGTGTAAGTGTTGGTGGTGGTGGTGTTGTTTCTGTTGTTGTTGTTGTTGTTGTTGCTGTTGCTTTTGATGCTGTTGTTGGTGGTGGTGGTTGTTTGTTGTTTGTTGTTTGTTCTTTGTTGTTTTTGTCACCCCCGCGACCCGGCCCGCGACCCACCCACCCGCCACCCAGCCGCGACCCATTCCGCGACCCGCCCGCGACCCACCCGCGACCCACCCGCGATCCACCCGCGATCCACCCGCGATCGACCCCCGACCCACCCGCGACCCAGCCGGCGACCCACCCGCGACCCACCCGCGACCCACCCCGCGACCCTTTTTCATGGTTTAACGGAAGGAAAGTGAGCGCCTGCGGCGACCTTTTGCAGAGCCTCGCAGACTGCCGGCGTCCCCGCCGCCCCTCTCTCTCTGATCCGTAATTGCGGGGCGCTACGCAGATTAGCGCCCTTGGGTTCAGCGCAGTGGGGGGAGGCACCCTTGAAGCTTGAGTCACCGCTCCTCCAGAGGCGCAGCGGTGCACCGGGAGGTTCGCTTAAGTCGGGCATGTCCCTCTACCATGAAAGGGATCGGCTCGGTTCGGTTCGGTCCGGTTCTGCAGCCGGGTCGGTTTTGCTTGGCCGGTTCGGTTTGGCATCGGTCCGGTTACAGCCGGTTCGGCTTGGGCCTGCCGCCGGTTCGGTTCGGTTCCGGTTTTCGCGCGGTTGGGTCCGACCGGTTCGGTTCGGTTCGAGAGGCCGCTCCGGTTCGGTTCGGCCCGACTGGTCAGGTGCGACGTTGGGCGCCCCGTCTGCGTAAGCGACGACCCAGTTTGAAAAAAAGGGAGGGAGGATGGGGGAGGAGGAGGAGGAGGAGGAGGAGGAGGAGGAGGAGGACGAGGAGGAGGACGAGGAGGAGGAGGCGGAGGAGGGAGGAGGAGGACGACGAGGAGGAGAAGGAGGAGGAGGAGGAACGTGGAGGCGTGGAGGCGCGAGGCCCTCCAGCGACGTGCCTGGCGAGGTGCCTCGCTGCTCGGCGCCGCCGCCGCCGCGGTCGTCGTCGTCGTCGTCGTCGTCGTCGTCGTCGTCGTCGTCGTCGTCGTCGTCGTCGTCGTCGTCGTCGTCGTCGTCGTCGTCGTCGTCGTGGTCGTCGTCGTCGTCGGGGAGGCCCCGGGATCGTCGGTCCGGGGGGGGCTGGGGACCCCCCTCATCGGTCTCCCTCGGAGGTGCAGCAGGGCGCGGCGACGACGACGACGACGACGACGACGACCCCCCTCGCGGGTGCGACCCCCCTCGCGGGTGCGACCCCCCTCGCGGGTGCGACCCCCCTCGCGGGTGCGACCCCCCTCGCGGGTGCGACCGACTCGCGGGTGCGACCCCCCTCGGGGCTGCGACCCCCCTCGCGGGTGCGACCCCCCTCGCGGGTGCGACCCCCCTCGCGGGTGCGACCCCCCTCGGGGCTGCGACCCCCTCGCGGGTGCGACCCCCCTCGCGGGTGCGACCCCCCTCGCGGGTGCGACCCCCCTCGCGGGTGCGACCCCCCTCGGGGCTGCGACCCCCCTCGCGGGCTGCGACCCCCCTCGGGTGCGACCCCCCTCGGGGCTGCGACCCCCCTCCCGGTGCGACCCCCCTCGCGGGTGCGACCCCCCTCGCGGGTGCGACCCCCCTCGGGGCTGCGACCCCCCTCCTGGGTGCGACCCCCCTCCTGGGTGCGACCCCCCTCGCGGGTGCGACCCCCCTCGCGGGTGCGACCCCCCTCGATCGGGGCTGCGACCCCCTCTCCCGGGTGCGACCCTCCTCGCGGGTGCGACCCCTCTCGCGGGTGCGACCCCCCTCGCGGGTGCGACCCCCCTCGCGGGTGCGACCCCTCGGGGCTGCGGCGCCCCCCTCGGGGCTGCGGACCCCCTCGGGATGCGACCCCCGCGCAGGGTGGACCCCCCTCGGGGCCTGGACCCCCCTGCGCGCGACCCTCGGGGCTGCGAACCTGCCTCGCTGGGTGCGACCTCGTCGCGGGTGGCGACCCATCGGGGCTGCGACCCCCTCGCCGGCTGCGACCCGCCTCGCGGGGTGCGACCCCCCTCGGGGCTGCGACCCCCCTCGCGGGTGCGACCCCCCTCGAGGGTGCGACCCCCCTCGGGGCTGCGACCCCCCTCGCGGGTGCGACCCCCCTCGGGGCTGCGACCCCCCTCGCGGGTGCGACCCCCCTCGCGGGTGCGACCCCCCTCGCGGGTGCGACCCCCCTCGCGGGTGCGACCTCCCTCGCGGGTGCGACCCCCCGCGCGGGTGCGACCCCCCTCGCGGGTGCGACCCCCCTCGGGGCTGCGACCCCCCTCGCGGGTGCGACCCCCCTCGCGGGTGCGACCCCCCTCGCGGGTGCGACCCCCCTCGTGGGTGCGACCCTCCTCGCGGCTGCGATCCCCCTCGCGGGTGCGACCCCCCTCGCGGGTGCGACCCCCCTCGGGGCTGCGACCCACACATCGGGGCTGGCTGCGACCCCCTCGCGGGTGCGACCCCCTTCGCGGGTGCGACCCCCCTCGCGGGTGCGACCCCCCTCGCGGGTGCGATCCCCCTCGGAGCTGCGACCCCCCTCGCGGGTGCGACCCCCCTCGGGGCTGCGACCCCCCTCGCGGGTGCGACCCCCCTCCCGGGTGCGACCCCCCTCGCGGGTGCGACCCCCCTCGCGGGTGCGACCCCCCTCGGGGCTGCGACCCCCCTCGCGGGTGCGACCCCCCAAGGGGCCGCGACCCCCCTCGCGGGTGCGACCCCCCTCGCGGGTGCGACCCCCCTCGCGGGTGCGACCCCCCTCGGGGCTGCGACCCCCCTCGCGGGTGCGACCCCCCTCGGGGCCGCGACCCCCCTCGCGGGTGCGACCCCCCTCGGGGCTGCGACCCCCCTCGCGGGTGCGACCTCCCTCGGGGCTGCGACCCCCCTCGGGGCTGCGACCCCCCTCGGGTCTTGGGGTCCTGGGGTCCCGGGGGTCCAGGGGGGTCCTGGGGTCCTGGGGGTCATCGGGGTCGGTTCGGGAGGTTCTGGGGTCATCGGGGTCCCGGAGTCCTGGGGGTCATCGGGGTCCTGGGGTCCGGACCGGAGGGGAAAGGGGTTCGGTTCGTCTCCCGTCGGTTCGGTTCAGGGGCCGCCCGGTTCCGGTTCGGTTCCGGTTCTGATTCGGTTCGGTTCTCGCTGGTTCGGTTCTGAATGAATTCGGCTCGGTTTGGTTAGGTTTTCTACGGTCCTGGTTTTGGACCGGTTCCGTCCGGTTCGGTCACGGTTCTCGGTTCTCGGTTCGGTGCGGTCATTTCATGCTCTACAGGATGAATATGCAAAAATAGCTTGAAGATCGTATGGGGACGATTTTTCGACTATTGTTGAATATGTTTGAATAGTTATTTGTTGGCTATGTGTCCCCAACTGAAAGGGGTCCTAGCGCAAATTCCCCAATCAGTGCTTGCACTCAAGGGATCCTAGCGGATATTGAAAGAGAAGGCGAATGTTTCACGCCGATTTTGGTGGCAGGCTGGGTTCCCGGTTCGGGGCGCCAGGCTCCCAGTTCCCAGGTCGATTTCGGTGGGCGGCGAGGTTCCCACGTTCCCGCGTTCTTGGTCAATCTTCTTATCGATCGGTCTCAGCACCGATGTCATGTCCCACCTTTTTATCGATCTCGCCATCGGTCTCACAATCGATCTCACAATCGACCTCGCAAGCGATCTCACCAGAGGTCGCACGAGCGAACTCGCGATCGATCTCCCTATCGATCTCATTGAATCGATTTTACTCTGGGTCTCACGATCGACCTTACAATCGTCATCCATCGATCCCACTATCGATCTCATTATCGATCTCTCAATCGATGTCAAGGTACATATGACTGATTTTCAAATCATCCACTGATTGGAGTTTTCTCAGGTGTAAGTGAAAGATTTGGCGACAGTTTCCCGCCGATTTTGGTGGCCAACTGGGTTCCCGGGTTCCCGGTTCCGGGTTCCTGGGTTCCTGGTCCTTGGTTCTGCAGCCTTTTTTTTCGGTGGGTTCCGGGTTCCCGGGATCCGGGTCGATCTCCTTGTCGATCTTGATCGATCCCATTTCGAGCCATCCACGATTGGAGTTTTTCTCTGGTGTACTACAGTCGGGGCCCTGAAGAAGGAACCCTTTTCGTTGGGGAGGGGCTCCGTGTTCCTGAAGTGCTTCGCAGCTTGCCTCCGGTTTTCCTCATGTCTTCGATCGGACATCGAAGTTTAATTTCTGGGAAAAAAGGGGCCCCGTGCCCTATTTTGGGTTCCTTAGGTCAAGGCCCCGACTGTGTATTGTTCTTCCAAAAATCCGCCCGTATCCCAGACCCCCGACGGCATGATTTTTTCATGACGCGACCTCCAGAGGTCCAGACCGAATCCCCGGGACCCGAGTTTTCATCCCGAGTCGTTTTTTGACGGTCCGGAGGGCCGGTAAGGGCCCCCGGAGACCGAAAATAGCGAAAAACCTCCCGTCGTGATTTTTTCATGACTCGAGGGGGTCTGGGATGGGACCATGCCCGACCTCAAGGCTCGCACCTCCTGCACTGCTCGGCGCGGCGGATCGGGCACGCGCCCTGCACGTTCTACACCGTGTGCCGGGAGGCGGCCCCGCGCTGGACGTGGCTGATCGACGGGGCGGTGATGGTCGCCGGGGGAGGGAGCCCTTCGATGCTCGTTTCGGGGACCTTCCTGGAGCCCACCTAACGGATCTGTTCGACCACAGTTCGACTCGAGTTCGACTCGAGTTCGACTCAAGTTCGACTCAGGTTCGACTCAGGGTCGACCCAACTCGACTGACGTTCGACGCAGCTTCGACGCACGAGTGGAGCGAGTGGCTCCAGGAAGGTCCCAGAACGAGCATCCAAGAGCCCGAGGACCAGGATTAGAAGTCGAAGAGCCAATCTAGGGGGCCACATGCGATCCCTACCCCTGCCCCGACCCGCGCAGAAGTCGTGGGGGGGCCAGGGGTATAGGGTGCGCGTGCGGCCCCCTGACATCGGCATACACCGCGCGGACTAAACGGCAAATCGGCAGGACGGCAAGTCGGCAGAGCACCCTGCGGGGGGCCCAGGGGGGGCCCAGGGGCTCCAGAACTGGGCGACGCGTTGCGGGCACCTGGGGCCAGGGGGCACCGCTGGCGACCCGACGAGGAGCACCAGGGGGACCTTGGACCGGTCGAAGGACAAACACGCGCCACAAACATCGAAAGGCAGATCTCTAGGCCTCCTAGATGCGGTCGGGATAGATGGGGTCGAAGGATCGCGCCGCATCGCCGATGCATCGGCGATGCACCAGCGATGCGGCTCGATGTGGGGCCCAAGTTTCTCCACGCCGACGTCGCCGATGCATCGCCGACGTCGCCAGAGTATGGCCGATGCATCGGCGAGGTATCGCCGATCTGTCGGCGATACGGTGGGAGCCTCCGACCCCATTTACTCGGACCCCATCTAAAACTGGGTAGCCGAAGGCCAGACTGTCAGATTGGATTGGGCCCCAAGGGCCAATCCGGCCTGGCCAAACTGGATGGTTTGGGTTGTTCGCCAGACTGGATTCGCGTTGGCTCCCTCGCCAGATTGCCCCCGTTTGCCAGATCGGGCCTGCCAGCTTGGCGCCAGATTGGCTTCGACTACCCAGTATAGGAGGCCGCCAAGATTGCAGCAGCCGCGCGGAGTGCCTGGACTGGCGCTGGGCCGCCCAGTCGCCGCCTCCGGCGCCACCCCGGGCGCGCTCCGCGCGCCAGGGACCCAGACCCCCTCGAGTCACGAAAAAATCACGACGGGAGGTTTTTCGCTATTTTCGGCCTCCGGGGGCCCTTACCGGCCCTCAGGACCGTCAAAAAACGACTCAGGATGAAGAGCCGGTCCCAGGGAATGGGTCCGGACCTCTGGGGGTCGCGTCATGAAAGAATCATGACGTCGGGGGTCTGGGGAGGCGGGAGGGGGGGGGGCCCGACGCCGATCCAAGAGACCCGCGTGAAGATCCGCAGGCCCGCGTGCGTGTGGTGGTCTGTCTTCGCAGGAGCGGGACCGGTGGGCCATGGCCAGGGATGCCGCGGGCTCGTGTCCCAGACCCCCGACGTCATGATTTTTTCATGACGCGACCCCCACAAGTCCGGACCCATTCCCCCGGACCGGCTTTTCATCCCGAGTCGTTTTTTGACGGTCCTGAGGGCCGGTAAGGGCCCCTGGAGGCCGAAAATAGCGAAAAACCTCCCGTCGTGATATTTTCATGACTCGAAGAGGTCTGGGGTCGACGCCAAGCCCGGTCAGGGCCCATGCCGGCCGTCGCACACCTGTGAGCGCACAGAGCATGCGCGGGTCGGCGGGGGCACGCGTGGGCGGTGCCCCGAGGTTGGAGGCCAAAGCGGCCGCGTTCCGCCCTGGTCACGGTCACCGCTCCCCTCCAGGTCAGCACGCCCAGCAAGCCACGTCAAGCCAGCCCGAAGGCCCCGATCTGCCGTCCATCTCCACATGGGGGGGGGGGTCGGGGAGCACCGACAAAAGGCCTCGCCTGCGAGGATCGGAGGAGTTGTCATCTCTTCCGCGGCGGAAGGCGGCGGAAGGACGGCGGAAGGTCGGCGGAAGTACAACGAGGCCGCCTCTGCCGGCGGAAGGCTGGCGGGAGGCGGCGGAAGTGAAAGACATGTCCCCAAGAGATGGAAGCGTTTTTGGGGTCAGGGTCTCCGAAATCGCCCACATGAAGCCCGCCCCCCCCCCCAAGCCCGAAATTCGAGGCTTCGGGTTGGGTTGGGGTGGTCTGGTATCAGGAGGGTAAAAATCACACAGACACAGTGAAGCGTCGATTCCCAGGAGAATATAGGCAAATATGGACACTCAGGGGGAAAGCGAAAACCCAGAAAATATAGGAAAATCCTCGGATTCCTGGGATTTTGTGTGTATTGATTTGCGTGTCCCAGGGCCCCTTTACGGTAGGCAGCCAGGTCAAGTGCTTCGGCGTGGGCACCTCGTACCTGATCATCGTCGGGGACCTGGCGCCCCCCGCCCTGGAGTTCCTCCTCGGCGGCTCGTGGACCGGACCCGGAATGAAGTCGGGCACGTCCCTCTACAGTCAAGTCCGGCATGTCCATCTACACCACAGGCGATGCTTAAGAAAACCCAAGTTTTCGGCCAGAGTCTCGATTATTCTTAATGTTTCAATGTAAATCCCAAGATTTGAATAGACATTCTGGGTTTTCATTCAGATTCTGAGACTATGAATTTCTTAACCCATGATTTCTTAAGCATTTCGCATCGTGGCGGGGGCCATGATATCTCCCCAGATTTCATGGCGCCTCGTCTTATTTCATTACGTCCCTGGCCCCCCCGCTGGGCCGCGCACATGCCGCCGGTCATGATTTGCACCCCGCCCTCGTGGACACCCCCCTCTTGGCCGCTCCCGACTACAGTCAAGTCCGGCATGTCCATCTACAGGAGGAATCTTCAAAAAAAGTCGGAAGATAGTCCGGGGATGATTTGTGTTTGCTATGTTTGAGTTTTGTCTCGAATCTTTCCTGAGTCTGTTTATTGGAGAGGCCTGACGGCCGGTGCCGCCGACCCTGATCGAAGGGCACGTCCCTCTACAGTCAAGTCGGGCGTGCCCCTCTACAGGGGGAACATTCAAAAACAGGCAACAAAATAGTCTGGGGACGATTTCTTGAACTATTTTTGAGCAAGTTTGGAATATGTTCTGAGTATGTCTATTGTTTGGCCCACAATTCCCTTGTAGGGGGACAGGCCCGACCTAAGAATAGTAGAAAACATAGTCTGGGGACGATCTGTCAACTACTTTTGAATATGTTTGACCAGACTGGCTACCTGCGGCCTCGGAGGAGGGCCAGTCGAGACCACGGCGGCCTCCCCAGACCCCCTCGCGTTACGACGGAATCACGGCGGGAGGCTCTTTGCTCTTCCTCCGAGGCCTCCCGGGGCCCTCCGTGGGCCTCGGGATGTGTGATGGGCTTGTTTCCCACCACGACCACCATACGTTGGAGGGGGAGAGCGTCCTCCTCCTCCTCCTCCTCGTCCTCCTCCTCGTCCTCCACCTCCTGCCCCCCTCCAACTTATGGTGGTGGTGGTGGTGGTGGAAAACAGGCCCATCAATGTGCAACACATCAATTCAGGATGAAAGACCGATTCCAGGGAAGGGGTCCAGACTTCTGATGGGGCACCTCATGCAACAATCACGACGTCGTGGGTCTTCTGGGTCCCCTGACGTTTCTCGTGTTCTTTGGGCCTCTTGGAGGCTTCTTGTCGGCACGGCTGAATCCGCCTCGAAATACGTGCTCGGGGACTGATTGTTGGGCGGACTTGTTCCAGGCGGGACAGCCGCCGTGGCCATAATTGGCCCTCCTTCGATGGTCTAGATCCATCGGCCTCGGCTCCATCACACATCGTGGTCAGAATGCAACTCCTGGGAGGTTCAATTCAGCATCGCCGCTGGCATACCCATGGCCGAAAGCTGGCCCAATTCGGCATAACCCTGTTTGATTCCCTTTATTGAATCGCTTCGCTCATTCCGCCGGCCCATTTCGCATGACTGAGCCTCTTGGGGCCGCTGGGGGGCCTCTTCAGCGTCGCTTGGGGGCCTCCTGAGGGCCTCTTGGGGGCTTTTGGGGCCTCTCAGGGGCCTCTTGAGGCCTCCTGGGGGCTTCTTAAGGCCGAGGGCTCGAAGTTTTGTTTTGTGTTCCCCCTTTGGGGCATCGCTTGGGGCCCTCTTGGGCCCCTCTTGGGCCGTCTTGGATGCCTCTGGGGCCGTCTTGGAGCCCTCTTGGGCCATCTTGGGGCCTTCTTGGGAGCTTCTTGGGCCCTCTTGGGGCGATCTTGGGGGCCTCTTGGGCCGTCTTGGGGCGTCGGGAAGCCGAAAAGATGGACACGCCAAAATCTGCCCAAAACCTAAGGAAAAGTAAGGAATTTTGCCTCTTGGGGCCCTCTGGGGAGTGCTCTTGGAGGCCTCTTGGGGCGTCTGGGGGCCATCTTGGGCGTCTTGGAACGATCGTGTGGCATCTCGGAGCACTCTTGAACCATCTTGGAGGGCTCTTGGCGGCCTCGTGGCCCTTTTTGAGGCTCTCTGGAGGGCCACGGGGGCGGCGCCCAGGAGGAAAACCATCTCTGACCCGACCCTGCCGGGGATCGCCCGGGGTACTTTTCGTCCGGGGACCCCCAGGGGCCGCCCCGCGCGCGCGAAGTAGAAGTATCATTTAGCAGTTACCGGAGATCTTAGCACGTCTCTGGCCCGTTGGGCCGGCGAATTTAACCTCTTCGCTCATTCCGCCGGCCCATCCTGCATAAGTGGAGCATATGTTTGTGTTCGTGGCGAGCAAAAAGGAGGAGGAGGACGAGGAGGAGGAAGAGGGGGGATGAGGATGAGGAGGGGGTTTCTGGAGGGCTTGTTGTTTCAATATGGGGCGAACCTGCTTATTGGCAAGGCGCCTCTTTGGGAGTCGCTTGGGGTCTTCTCGGAGTCTCCAGGGCCTCGTGGCGGTATGTGAGTGATATCCTGGGTGTCTCGTGGGAGCCTCTCGGGGGCCTCTTGGGGGTTCTGGTGGGCCTCGTGATGACGAGGATGATGGTAAAGATGATAATAATGCTAATGATGATGATGCTAATAATAATGATTATGTTTCTGATCATGATTATGATGATGATGATGATGATGATGATGATGATGATGATGATGATGATGATGATGATGATGATGATGATGATGATGATGATGATGATGGGATGGGATGGGGATGGGGATGGGGATGGGGATGGGGATGGAGATGTGGATGATGATGCTGATATGCTGATGCTGATGATGATGATGATGATGATGATGATGATGATGATGATGATGATGCTGAATGTGACGATGATGCTGATAATGATGCTGATGATGACGAGGATGGTGATGATGCTGATGATGATGATGATGATGATGATGATGATGATGATGATGCTAACGGGGATGATGATGACGATAGTGATGATGATGGGAGGCAGCGTCTCGAGAGCTTCTGATGGCAGCCTCGGTTCGAGGATGGCGCTGGTCCACACTGTATCGATGGTTCTATGTGTTGGCGTGCTCGCGGCGGGCGAGGAGGAGGAGGAGGAGGAGGAGGAGGAGCAGGAGGAGCAGGAGGAGGAGGAGGAGGAGGAGGAGGAGGAGGAGGAGGAGAGGAAGAGGACGAGGAGGAGGCATCCCGATTGCTGTCTTGATGACTTCTTGTAGCGCTTGTTGTTCGAGGATTGAGGTTCGTCGACGCAGAGGGGGGAAAAGGAGGAGAGGGAAGGAAGAAGGAAGGGTTGGTGAGACGATAGGAGGCCTTTCGGGGGCCTCTTTGCGGTATTCCTGGGACCTCCTGGGGCGTCAGGGGGGCCTCTAGGGGACCTCTTACGAGGTCTCTTGGGGCCTCTCGGGGGCCGCTTGGGGGCTTATTGGGGGCCTCTTGGGGAGACCTCTCTGCGCCTAGAGCTCGAAATGTCCGTGATCCTGGGAGCCACTTGGGCCGTCTTGGAGCGCCGGTAAGCCGAAAAGGCGAGAATGCCGAAAATCTTCAGAGCATCAAAGGCAACCCACTAATTTCTGCCTCTGTGGGCCCTCTTGGGAGGTCTCTTGGAGGCCTCTTGGGGCGTCTTGAAGGCGCTTTGGGTTGTCTGGAGGCCATCTCTGGCGTCTTGCATCACAGTCTAGGACCACGTTGAGATCTATTGGAGGCCACTTCTAGCGTTCCTGGAGCGCTCTTTGCAGCCTGCTGGGACCTGGCCGGGACCTCGCCGGGGCCTTCCCGGGACCTGCCGGAGACCTTGCCGGGACCTGCCTGGGACTTTGCCAGGGTGTTTTTCGTCCGGGGAACCCTCATGGGGCGACCCCGCGCGCGCGAACTAGAAATATTGTCAACCAGTTACTGGAGATCTTAGCACGGCCTTGGCCCGTTGGGCCGGCGAATTTCAGGCGAATCTGGCCTGGCCGGGCTTAATGCTGGGTTTAATTCCAGCTAGTTGGCCCCTCAATTGGGCTGAACAACTTCTAACCCTTCTCACGAAGACCTCCCAGGAGCCACCTCCGAATCGGAGACCCATCAGGGATTTGGGGCAGCGAGTCATCGGCCAGGCTCGCCATCGACGGAGCGCTCCGCGGTCTGGGATGGATCTGACCAGCAGGTTGCAGCACCCGGTCTCGGGGGACGCCGACTATTCACCTGCACCGATAATGGACATGCCCACCCTTGGTCTGTGTATACAGATCTATACATATGTATATATATATATATATATATGTATATTGTGTGTGCGTGTGTGTGCGTGTGTGCGTGTGTGCGTGTGTGCGTGTGTGTGTGTGTATGTGTGTGTGTGTGTGAGTGTGTGTGTGTGTGTCTGCCACCCTGTCTCAGCCAGGCACGAGTATACACAGATCCCTAGCCAAGATCGGTGCCAGTGTATAGGTGGCGTCCTCCTAAGGTTAGGTCGGACATGTCCCCCAACAGGTGGATTTTGATTGGAAAACAAAACAAAAATCAAAACATATTCCCAAATAGTCAATAATCGAAAAATCTGTCCCGGATTGTTTTGAATATTTCCCCACATGTTTCGTGGGGTTCTGGTTTTCTTCCCTGCCGCGCCGCACCCGCGTCTCACACCTCCCCCCTCCCCTTCTCCTTCTCGCACATCATAGCACAGCACAGCACGGCACGGCACGGCACGGCACAGCACAGCTCACCGCACAGCAGCACAGCACAGCACAGCACAGCACAGCACAGCACAGCACAGCATACCACACAGGGCATTCCTTCGACGCCACAGGGGGTGGGGGTGCGCAGAGGGTGGTCCCTCAGCGCGGCCTCTATCCGTGACACGCTCGCAGATCGTGGCAGGCGTGGCACTTTCTCGACACCACAGGGGGTGCGCAGAGGGTGGTCCCTCAGCGCTGCCTCTATCCGTGACACGCTCGCAGATCGTGGCAGGAGTGGCATTTTCTCGAAGCCGCAGGGGGTGCGCAGAGGGTGGTCCCTCAGCGCGGCCTCTATCCGTGACACGCTCGCAGATCGTGGCAGGAGTGGCACTGTCTCGACACCACAGGGGGTGCGCAGAGGGTGATCCCTCAGCGCGGCCTGTATCTGTGACACGCTCGCAAATCGTGGCAGGAGTGGCACTTTCTCGACGCCACAGGGGGTGCGCAGAGGGTGGTCCCTCAGCGCGGCCTCTATCCGTGACACGCTCGCAGATCGTGGCAGGAGTGGCACTTTCTCGACACCACAGGGGGTGCGCAGAGGGTGGTCCCTCAGCGCGGCCTCTATCCGTGACACGCTCGCAGATCGTGGCAGGAGTGGCACTTCTCGACACCACAGGGGGTGCGCAGAGGGTGGTCCCTCAGCGCGGCCTCTATCCGTGACACGCTCGCAGATCGTGGCAGGAGTGGCACTTGCTCGACACCACAGGGGGTGCGCAGAGGGTGGTCCCTCAGCGCGGCCTCTATCCGTGACACGCTCGCAGATCGTGGCAGGAGTGGCACTTTCTCGACACCACAGGGGGTGCGCAGAGGGTGGTCCCTCAGCGCGGCCTCTATCCGTGACACGCTCGCAGATCGTGGCAGGAGTGGCACTTTCTCGACACCACAGGGGGTGCGCAGAGGGTGGTCCCTCAGCGCGGCCTCTATCCGTGACACGCTCGCAGATCGTGGCAGGAGTGGCATTTTCTCGACACCACAGGGGGTGCGCAGAGGGTGGTCCCTCAGCGCGGCCTCTATCCGTGACACGCTCGCAGATCGTGGCAGGAGTGGCACTTTGTCGACACCACAGCAGGTGCGCAGAGGGTGGTCCCTCAGCGCGGCCGCTATGCACGACGGTCGTCCAGGGCATAGCAGGCGTGGCATTTTCTCGACACCATAGAGGCTGCGCAGGGGGTGGTCCCTCACCGCGGCCGCTGGCTGGCTCGAATCTGTCCTCGACGGAGGATGGAAGGCTAGGGAGAGGGAGGAGCTTCAAGCAACATGGCGTTGGATGACACATAGGGGAACATTCGCGACGAGGGCTGAGAACGCAGAATTGCACATAGATTATAAATTCAAGCAAACACTCAATATCTAAGTTGAGTATGTGGGGTTCCTCGGTAGCGTCATTTTGTATACTCCTTGTGTAGAGGGACATGCCCGACTGAATCCCAAGGTTGAAATCGGTCTTTGGATCAACCGCGCTCGCGAGGGGAGGCGAGAGGGGGCGCTCCCCCAGGATCAGGCGATGGCACACCGTCACGGTCGGCTTCGCCGCTGCGGGCGCGCTGTCGTGCCTGCCGGACCTCACCCCGCTGAGGTACACGGCCACCGCCTCGGTCCTGATCACTTTTTGGGTGGTTCGGGGGTGGACAGACCTCCTGACAGTGACACGTCGATGAGTGCATTGTCCGTCTTCGGTGCTCGAAAAAGGGCGCCGCGGTCGTGATTTTCTTGGCTTGCGCCCGCCAGGTTGGGGCCCGGGGTCGTTTTCGCTGAACCACGTTTTACTAAAGGGAGGTCTGTCCATCCCCGAGGTGGTGGTGCTGATCCTGCTCTTCTACTGCAGGGCCGGCCCCGCCTTCGAGCCCTGCGGGTCCCCCGGCGAGGGGCTGCCCTGCTGCCCCGCCGGGGGCACCTGCCCTGCCCCGGTGGCGTTCAGCGCCATCGCCCCGCACGGCTTCGTGGAGCTGGGCAGGGCGCTCCCCGTCTTCATATTCGGATTCACATGCCAGCAGAACGTGTTCACCATCTGCAACGAGGTTCTCGGCCTCCTAGATGGGGTCCGAGCAGATGGGATCGGAGGGTCGCGCCGCATCGCCGATGCATCGCCGATGCGGCTCGGTGCGGGGCCCGATTTGCTTCACGCCGACGTCGCTGATGCATCGCCGACGTCAACGAAGCATCGCCGATGCATCACCGATGTATCGGCGATGCGGCGCGATTCTCCGACCCCATCTTCTTCGACCCCTATCTCGGGGGCCTCTAGAGGTGAGGGTCGCCTCGAAGAGGCGGATGGACAATATCGTCCTCAGCGCGTACACCGTCTCGGGCTTCGCCTTCGCCTTCGCGGCCCTCTTCGGCTACGCAACTTACGGTGACGGCGTGACCTCGGACGTGCTCAGGGGGTACCCGCAGGACACCGTTGTGCAGGTCACGAGGCTCCTGTTCTCGCTGCTGGCGGTGTTCTCGTACCCGCTGCAGGCGCACCCCTCGCGCACCTCTTGCCTGTCGCTGTGGGCGCTCGCCTGCGACTCCCTGGGGACCGAGGGAGCGCAAAGGAGGAGAGAAGGAGGAGGAGGAGGAGGAGGAGGAGGAGGAGGAGGAGCAAGAGGTCATGATGCTGATGCGTTCCAGGATTTCCAAGGTTTCCAGTGTTCCCCATATTGCCGAATGAGCCCGGCGCGACCCCATTTGGGGGAAAGCTTCCCATTGCGTGGACGCACTGTTTTGCATTGCTCGGCATTGCTTGGCATTGCGTGGCATCGCTGGGTATTGCTGGACATGGTTTGGAACGGGCACAGTAAGAATACGAGGCACCAGGGGGGGGGGCACCAGGGGAACCCGAGTAACCCGGGGATCCCGGGGGCGGGGAACTTAGGGAGCCCGGGGAACCCGAGGAACTTGGGGAACCCCGGGGAGATCGGGGAATTTGGGGAACCCCGGGAACCCGAGGAACCGCCGGGCAACGGGCAACGTGACAATAGGAGGCACAGGGGGCGAGGAACCCGGGGAACCCGAGGAAGCTCCGGGCAACGGGCAAAATAACATTCAGGAGCTTAGTTGCCTCGATACGCCCGTTTTGATACGCAATACGTCCCGTGTTCAAGACGTCCGTGTCAATACGCTGCATGTTGCTCCACGTATTGGGCCACGTTTTGGCGAGTGTATCGCCTCGGACCTACGTTTTCAGCCTACGTGTTGAGCTCCGTATCAATACGCTACGTGTTGCGTGTTGCGTATCGGGGCAGTTAAGTTAAGGAGGCAGCAGCCTTTGAATAAGTAAGAACCTCTTGGGCAAGCCTGGGTTCGAATCTTCCGCACCTGCTGCGCCGCTAGATGCTCTGGAAATCCTGGAACTCGTCCTGAACCAGTCTTATCATGGCATCAGTCTCGCCCTGAACATGGATAAGGGCGCGTGGATCCTGGACCACCAACATCACGGCGGAAGGCGTGTGTATACGTATGTTCGGCCTCTGGGAGCCTTTTTACCGCGTCTCGAGACAAGAATAATCGTGGGCCCCAGACGACCGAACTCACGGCGGAAGGTTTGCCCGTATGCTCGGCCTCTGGGAGCCCCTGGAGGGCCTCGGGGCAGGAAGGGAAAAAAAGCCTGTCCCCGGGGACGGCGTCCAGATCGGGGGCCTTATAAGGCAGGGGCCAATGCAGACGTGAGCCATGCAGGGCGCAAGCTCCTGCGGGAGCCCGCAGAGCCAGGGGCGCCCTGACCCAGGCTTGGGCGCAGGACCCTGCAGGAGCTCGCAGGAGCTTGCAGGGCCTGACGGACCCGGGTCTGGAATGACCAGGGCCGGCATCAGGATGGGCGCACAGACACAGTGAATCGTCGATCTCTCGGAAAGGATTGGAAAGCATGCTCTCAGCGGCACCGTAACGGGTACTCACTGACGGGTTTCTCTTGGAGATTGCCGAAGGTTGCCACTCCAGGTCTCCTCCTGGCATTGCAGCGCTGCCCACCTCGGGGAGGATGGGGCTCGCCGGGTCACTGGCCAGAGTACCCCTGACTGGAGCCCCCGTTAGGGGGGCGCTGATGCTCGTCGTCGCCGTCCGCTTCCTCTGAGAGGCGAGGGCCGTCCGACGCGCGCGGGGCGAGGGGCTCCGCCTCCGCGGCCGCCCCCGCGGCTCCCCCCTCTCCGCGGCCGCCGCGGCGTGGGCGCGCGGCCGCCGGGGGCGCCCTGTCGGTGCGGCTGCAGCTCTGCACGAACGGAGTGGGTACGGGAAGTCGGTGCCTCCTCCTCGAGTGTCGGTGCTTCCTCCACCTCCCCCCCCCGCCCCCTCCCTCCTCCTCCTCCTCCTCCTCGTCCTCCTCCTCCTCCTCCTCCTCCTCCTCCTCCTCCTCCTCCTCCTCCTCCTCCTCCTCCCCCTCCTCCTCCTCCGAAAAAGACCGCGGCGGAAGGGCCGACGGGCAGAAGAGAGGGGCAACCACGGTCGGACACGCTCGACGGGCGCAGAGTGTGGGGGGCGTCCAAGAGGAGGGGGGGCGTCCACGATCGGGACGATGGAAATGGGTACGGAAAGAATGGGCACAGTGCCCAGCAACAGTTCCTGCTCATTGTGAACGGGACTCGCTGTCCGCGCCGCCGCGGCCTGTGTCCGTTTGAGGCAGGAGGCGGCCTGCCCAACAGCGGCCGCTGCTGGTTTGGGGCAGCATTTGTTGCTGGGCACTGCGCCCATTCTTTCCGTGCCCACTTCTTGGCGTCGGCCAGCGTCGCCCCGCGACGACTCGCAGGAGCCGACGAGAGGGTATGGGAGGCTCCCACGAGCGGCCACCGAAGGGGTGTGCTTGTAGCGGCCGGGTGCGGTGCTGAAGACGTCGCTCTGGTGGGTCCGCTCCGGGGGTGGTTTGGTGTCATGTCGGTACTTATTATTATTAGTAGTATGTTTATTCTTCTTATGATAGTAGTATTATTCTTCTTAGTATTAGTATTAGTATTATTATTATTCTTATTAGTATTAGTATTATTATTATTATTAATATTATTATTAGTATTAGTATTATTAATATTATTATTGTTATTACTAATAATAATAGTATTCTTAGTTTTCGTATTCTTATTCTTATTCTTATGATAAGTAATAGTATTCTTCTTATCTTCTTCTTCTTATTATTATTATTTTTTCTTATTTCTTATTTGGGGGGGTCTTCATTGCTTCCCGAGGGTATGGTCCCCCCCCGTCGTGAACTGACGCGCGCCACTCGAGGAGAGGACGGCCCCCCCTATCGTATACCTCCCAGGGGCAGGGCCCCGGATGTCTGGCCCCCGCGAGAGCCCCGCGGGGCCTGGGAGGGGTGCCGACACCTCCCCGGTCATGGCCTTCTGCTTCGCCCCGGTCCGTGGACCGGGCGCCCACGCGCTGGATTCGGCCGGATGGCGATGGGGGGATCAGGACATGGGGGGATGAGTATCTGGTACCGTTTTGTTGGGGTACAATTTGTACCTTCTCTTCGGGTTACAAAATGTACCTCGGTTGCGCCTCTCTCCCCATCTGGACTTATCCCCCCATTTGCATCCCGCCAATAGATCCGCGGGCCCGTCATCCCGGCCGGCGTTAAGTCGGGCGAGTCCCCCTACTGTCGGGGGCGGAAAAGAGGGGGGTGATGACTAGGGGGGGGGGGATATCATGGCGCGGGCCATGATGTCTCCGCAGATCTCATGGCGCCTCGTCTTATTCCATTACGCCCCTGGCCCCCCCGCTGGGCCGCGCACATGCCGCCGGTCATGATTTGCACCCCCCCCTCTTGGACACCCCCCTCTTGGCCGCTCCGGATACTGGGGGATTCTCTACGAAACATCAAAAATATCAAAAACATATGCTCCAAGATGGTCAAACAATGCTCGAACACCAGTCCCCAGACTGATGATTGACTATTTTTGAAGATTCCCCCTGTAGAGGGGCAGTGTGACTTGAGGCTGGAGGGTGCGCCCGAGAGGACCGCCGGGCGCGAGATCGGCCAGGAGGGGGGCGGCGCGGGGCGCGGGGGCGCGGGGCTCCGCGAGAGGCAGCGCTTCCGGGTCGCGACGGTGGTGGGCCTGTCCAGCTCGTACCTCATAGCGGTGGTCGTCCAGGCCCGGGGCGGGGAGGTCTTCGGCGGCGAGCGAGGGGGGGAATTGAGAAGGAGTACAGTGGAGGCGCGCATCAAGAAACCGTTTTTTCGCTCCGCGCGCCGCGCGGTGGCTTCCCGCAGCCAGGGAAGGAGCGGCTGCGTTCAGGGTGCTCTGGTTGTTTTTTCTTTCAGGTGCACTTCGCGCGCGGGTTTTCAGGGTTGGGTTTCTTGCGGCCGCGCCCTTCCTGTAGGCCTTCTCAGAACGCGGCCGGACTTCTCAGAAGTCCTCGCACCTTCTGAGAAGTTGTTGTCTGCTTGGGAAACTTCTCAGAGGTCCAGGCGGCGTCCGAGCCTTCGAGAAGGCACGCCCTTCCCACTTCCCCCGACGTCGCGACAGATCTACCGCTCGCCGCCGAGGTCCGCAAGAGATCCACCGCCGCCCGCCGGGCCCATCCCGGGGCCCGGGAGCGCCTTACGCGCTGCCCCCGCCCCCCCCCCCCCTCGGCGGATGGGCCAGGGCCGTGTACGCACCCAGACCCCCGACGTCGCGAGCTGTCCATGGCGTGCCCCTCAGAGGCCTGGGCCCCTTCCCGGGGACCGGTTTTTCCTCCGCAGTCGTTGTTTGACGGTCCCGAGGCCCGAGCGAGGAGGGCCCAGGAGGCCGAGAATAGCGGAGAGCACCTCCCGTCGTAATTGTCGTTTCACAGGGCGCGGGGTTCTGGGTGCACGCCGCTTCTTGGCCCAGGGACGGGCCTGGCCAGTGGCGGTGGAGTTCTGCAGCTCCCGCTGCTCCCCAGGATTTGTCGGCCGTGCTCGGGGTCGTGGGCGCCACGGGCTCGACCATGGTGTCCTACATCCTCCCGGGGCTGTGCTACACGCAGACGTTCCGGGATCCGCACATCCAGGGCAGTGCCAGCGGGGTGCCACCAGAACGGGAGGTCAGCGACTCCTCCTGAGGAAATCGAAGGTCTAGGCCTCCTGGGGGGGGGCGGAGTAGATGGGGTCGGAGGATCCCGCCGCATCGCTGATGCATCTGCGATGCATCGGCGATGCGGCTCGATGTGGGGCCCAACTTTCTCCACGCCGACGTCGCGGACGTATCGCCGACGTCGCCAGTGCATGGCCGATGCATCGGCGATGCGGCGCGATCCTCCGACCCCATCTATCCGACCCCATCTAGGAGGCCTCTGGAGGAGGAGGGAGGACAGATGCTCCAGGAGGCTCTGGACGTCCTTGGGGGTCCAGAGCAGTCCTGCGGGGTTGGGGGAGGGGTCCAGAGGGGCATGTCCCTGCCTGGAGGCGGTGGCGGGCCCCTCGGTGGTCGCCCCCCCCATGGCAGTGCCCGGGCCTCAAGCGCAAGCTCGCTTGGCTTCAGCTCGGCGCGGGCTGCGTGATCATGCCCACGTGCCTCGCCCTGGAGTTCTTCAAGTAGCGCCAGCGACGCCAGCGGCGCCCGCCGCGTCCGCTTTGGCGTCCCACTGCTGGGGCGATGGCCCCGCGGCTGATCGACCTCCTTCTCCTCCTCCCCCTCCTCCTCCTCCTCCTCCTCCCTCCCTCCCTCCCTCCCTCCCTCCTCCCTCCCTCGCTCCTCGCTCCTCCTCCTCTTCTCCTCCTCCTCCTCCTCCTCCCCCTCCTCCTCCTCCTGCTCCCCCTCATCCTGCTCCTCCTCCTCCTCATCCTGATCATATTGCTCCTCCTCTGCTTCCTCCTCCTCCTCTTCCTCATCGTCCTCCTCGTCCACTTCCTCCACCAAATGAGTAGAACTATCATCTCTCCACTGATGACGTCTGGAAGACGTTCGGCCCCACTCCGCCTTCGTTGTTTTTACAACTATTCCTGGGAGTTGGCTTTTCGTTTGTGATTGTTCAAACAGTTGCTCCCGCTGAAGCGCTGATCTCATTTTCGGGCATCCGCTCGTTCCGAATCGTGCTCCCGCTGCAGCTTTGGCTTCATTTCCGCGCTTCCGCTCGTTCCGAATCGTGCTCCCGCTGCAGCGGTGGCCTCATTTCCGCGCTTCCGCTCGTTCCGAATCGTGCTCCCGTTGCATCGGAGGCGCCATTGTGTCCAGTGCCATGCCGCAGCATGCTATGAGGTGTTCCGCTGTGCGATGCCATGTCTTCAGCTGTAATGCTAGGATATGGAGCGATTGACTGCGAAGTGCCGCGCCATCCTATGCCATGTTACGCTTTGATCTTCAACCATGCTCGACATCCGACTGTGCGACTAGAGAGGAGATCTGCACCGTTGTGAGGGATGGGAGGGAGGAGTGGGACGTCGGATACGACGCGACCGCACCAAGCTTGCCCTCCCCCCCTCCCCCTCGGCCCGACCCTGTCCGACGGTGCGAATAGAGAGGACATCTGCTCCGTGGTGAGGGATGGGAGCGAGAAGTGGGACGTCGGATGCGGCGCGAGCGCACCAAGCTCCTAACCAGCAATCGAGGCAGTTCACGATTCCCACTTCGTCGTTTCCTGGTCGAATCGCCGTTCATGCTACGTACCTTGGGGTCCAATACCATGGCAATGGCACTACCGCGCAACAACGCCAGCACATCCAAAAAAGTATGCGCAAGGCTTGGTACTCCATGGGACGTTTCTGGTTTACGAATCGGGTTCCACGTCGAATTCAATTACTTGTCTTCCAAGCTAGAGTTCAATCTGCGGGGCTAAGTGGATTAGAAGCTTTCATATTGATTAATAGCGACTACAACATGATTGACAGTCTACTACTACAATGGGGACGCATACTACTTAAAGGTGATGCAGTAACCAAGTACCACAATCCCGATGGTAGTATTAAACATGTTTCTCTGCCTACTCAGAAGATCTGGACACGTCTAGGACTTGCGCCCGCTTCGCTTGAATTGAGAATTCGCCGTCTTCGATGGCTTCAGCAACTTGCGAACCATCGAGAAGACAATCGTCAGCTGCTCGCCGCTATGTTTGGCCAGATGACTGGCGAAGCTGAGCCCACTCTCCGAGACTGGCTCCTTGTACGCAATGCCGCAGGACAGTTTCAAGGCAACCCGTGGGCTCTCCAGGTGTTGAACGATTTAAAAATGTTGACACTCTTGGATAGTGGTGCGGAGCTCTTGCAGGCCATGGGGGGCATTCACTTCAGAATCTTCCAGGAGGAGTTCGCCCCCAGGTTCAAAAAGGTCAGTTTCCAGAGGCTTCGGGGGTTCTACTGGGAGAACATGATAGATGAGTTTGGGCGTCGACGGGTTCCTACTGCTAATGCCGCTGCTGCAGCTGGAGGAGAAGGAGGAGGAGGTGCCGATGCCAATGCCGCTCCCGACCCTGTCCCCCCACTGGCCCCAAAAACGTGGATTTTCCAAGAGACTCTGGATAACGGGACCGTCTGTGGGCTCGAATTTACTGAACAACAGGGGTGATACGCTCATATGAGATTTTGTCGTGAGGGGGGTCATGGAGAGCGAGCTTTATCACAAATTTTAACAGTAACAAACCAGTGTCCATGGTGCATGTCCACTCATTCAACACATGCTATTTCACGGCAACATGTACGTCGACTTTTCCAGAATAAGATATGTCATTGTGATCGTAGCCCTGCGCATCATCCTATCGTGGAACCGTACTCATTTGAATGTCCAGCCTGTGGTCGTGATCACCCGACACTTACAGCACTTCAGATACATATACGTTCACACGTTGATATTTCTGAAGCTGTTCTCTCTTTTGCAGTTGACGCATCAACGCACCATGGCGGCTTGGAACCTTCCGATGGACCCGACGGAGCTCGAGACTGCCAAGAAGAGATTGGCAGATCCCTCTCAGATGAGCTTCTTCTCAGGTGGCGGACTCGGAAAGAGGCAAAAGCAGCCCAGGCATGCCGCCGCTGGTGCATCTCAGTCGGCAGACTCCAGGAAGGACACACCGATGGTAGCGCTGGACGACGACGACAGCGAGGACGAGACGGCGCAGGCGGTGATGAAGGGCTACTTGAATGTCGCCCAGAGGACGAGGGCGCTGGAGGGATCGGTCCTGACGACGCATCTGGTTCCGAGCGAGTGCACGATCAACCCTCCAGCCGTGGCAGCTGCAACCAAGTACGTCGAGACGGCGCAGGGCGATCCCGACCACAAGATGGGGCCCCCCAGTGTATGCGTGGCGATGGCCGTACTGACCACGATCGCCAGCCACACGTCGTTGCAGTCGAACCCCCAGCTGGCAGACAGCATCAAGGCCCTGAAGGGCCTCCTGGAGTGGATCAAGGGTCAGCCGATCGTCGTAGTCGCGGAATTCTTCAAGTACTGGAGGGCCAAGACGGCCTACGTGAAGGATGGGTCCCCGAAAATGGTCAGGCACACTTTCTTCATCAACAGTTGGGTGAGCGGCCCCAACGGAGTGCTTCTTCCCATGAATGCTGTGATTTCCACCCTTCTCCTCGGTCTGGGGAGCGTTGCGAAGATGGTCCCCCCCCCCCAGGTCGAATCCAGAGCGCCGTGTCCAGAATTCCCTGGAGAAAATGCTCCGAGGGGCCCGACACAAGCGAGCGTGAATCTTATTGAGAATGAGCCTCGAGCGAATGCTGATTTTAGGAACGGACCCAACCCGTCCCACCCCGTCCCCGCTGTGCCTCCTCCTCCTCCCCTTCCCCCCCGTGGGTCTGTTCTCGAGCGTGGTCGAATCCAATTCAGGGGTGAGTGGAATCCAGGCCGCAGCTCTTCCAGCAAAGGACGCCGAGGAAAGGGTTCAGGCAGAGGCCGAGGACGACGAGGAGGTGCTGCAGGCACCTGACCGTCCTCGTCTCCCTAGCTCACGTTTCAAGCATTTGCTTCTTGTTTCCCTCCTCTTCCCTCTGCTCCCCTGCTTCTTTTCGTCCGTCCCTCGTCCCTTGGTCCTTCCACACTGTGAGAGAGCTCTCTCGATTTTTGTCCGTCTATGCGTAGACGAGTGCAGGTTTCTCGACCCTGTGCCGTTCTCCGTTCGAGGTGTCCCCGAGTCGTTCGGGAGGGGGTCCCTCGGAAGCTTGGCAACGTTATGAGCATAGCGTCTCAGCAGCGCCCTGCGGTCGCCCTTTGAACTCTTGATTTCAGAGATTGACCATGCGCAGATCGTCCAGTCCAGTCCAGTCCTCCTCCTCCTCCTCCTCCTCCTTTAACTCCTCCTCCTCCTTTTCCCCCTCCTCCTCCTCCGCCTCCTCCTCCTCCTCCTCCTCCTCATCTTGCCTCTTGCCTGCCTTGGGGGATGAGTCCATTGAGGTACCCCTCTAGAGAAAGAAAATCCTGGGCCACCTCCATCCACATTTGTCACCACAGGAACCAGGGGCGATATCTGGAACCTGAGGCCGCGACAGGAGGTGGACCCAGGCTTCTGATCATTCAGGCCACGCCTTAAGATCAGGGGGAAGTTTCCCAGCCATCAGAGCCCTCCCCACCCTCTTCCCATGATCTGTGAGGCCAGGTACACACGTTCGCCCCAATTTCAGCAATTTGCCTCTTGAGGGAACCCCTGACCCTCCACAGAGCTGGCACCACTACACGCCCCCGTAAGCTTCCAGCTTATGGGAGGGGTGGATGGTGGTGGGCTGGCCTGGGCAGGGCGACCGAAGGAAAGCCTCTCGCTCGCCTCGATCGGGCTGAAGACACACAGTGCAGCGCCAGGAAACTCGCGCCCTCTGCTCCACGACGTGAGACGACTGAGAGACAAGGAGGGCCAGCTGCGATTCCTTTTCTTGACGCAAAGCCGCAAGGGAACTCTTGGCCTCCTCCTGGCGGTTGCCCTTAGACGCTGCTCCGTAAAGGTTGGGGGGCCTGCTGAACTAGGGCCATAGACACCGCCAAAATGGAGCCGAGAACTTTGTGACACAAATCATCAGATTCTGCTACATGACGCCTTGCATGAAACGGGATCTGGGCCATCTCAGCCCCTTTCTCTGCAGCCTTATCCGCCAGACGGTTTGCTTGTCAGTGGACTGGGTCGAAGCCTAGGGTGACTGCACCCTCGTGAGAAAGGTGAGATCGGATCTTGTGCACTGCGATCGGACGAACACCAACCGCGCGCCAGAGGCCCTTCCACATCGAAATCATGTTTTTGTGCCTGAAGCTGGGCCCTGCGCGAATTCCCCGCACGACACCATCATTATCCATCACGCACTCTATGGGGCCTGTGGTGAGCTGGGCCGCGCGAGTGATAGCAGACAGTTCAGCTGCAGACACTGTCTGGTTATCGCACGGCAGAGGGCCAAGCCCCCACGGTACGTGCTGGGCGCCTCGCAAGATGGCAAAGCCCCAGCCGCACCTCTTCAGCCGAGGATCCGAACCCTCCTCACCCCCCGCCCCGTCCGACCCGATCACACACCCCTGATCAAGCTCATAAGGATTAGCCTCGAGCTGGTCCGAGAGCTTCTCTTCCCCCTGGATCGGGACACGCCCATGCTGGTACGCCCAGGCCAGGGGGGGCAGACCTCGGGGCCAGAAGGACGGGGCGTCTCCCGACTCAGCTTCCGCCTGCCTCCTCAGGGAAGCGTTGAAACCTGGGATAGGGTCATTCAGAGGGCAACTCCAGAGCTGGTGGAGAAGGGTCCCTTGAGGCGCTCCACACAGAGGGCAAGAAGGAGATGACCAGA